GGACAGAACTTTATTTTCAGTTCTCCTTTCTGCCACAATCTGTCCTTACCTATGTGCCTAGGTAAGCTCAACTCCTTTTTTGTGCAGTATTCATTCTCAAATTTCACTTAAATGTTTTGTATAATTATATGATAAAGGAACATGTTTACAACTAAATTAATGATCTTCCAATCTCCTCTCCCTCCTACCCCCATCTGCCTCATTCTGACTGGCTTTACTAATATTATACAAACTTAAAATCGTACTTCTCCTTCCAAGTCGCATTCAGTCTTTCCCCAAGTTTGGGTCGTCTTTCTTTAATATCTTTGCATCCCTTCCCGTTTCCCTCGTCCTCCCACTTGTACACTGACTTCCCAGGTGGCCTTCCTGGCTCAGTCTCCGTCCACTCTGATTGACTCAGTAAGCCCCTGCCAAATTAATCTTTCTAAAACACTGCTCCTATTTTGCTCTTCATTGAAGTTGGACAGACGCGCTTAGCCACTTACTCATCTGTGTTTCCTCAGATAAATTACTTCTCATCTGTGCAAGGAGGTTAAGCACCTCCTAACATTCTAGTAAAAATAAAACAGTTACCCTGGGCTTCTGTGTCCAACCGGTAAAATGAAATAAATTTCTCTATTTAGTGATCCTGCATGTGTATATCTTGTCTCTGTAGGAGAAGGATCTTTATGGTAGTGTATGTGAGAGTATTTAAATTTACAAATATTTATAAAGTTATATTTTTATGAATTTGTTATAAATTTATAATATAATTTGAGTACATAGAATATACATAATATAAAAGACCATATATTATATAATTTTAAGTATAATTTATATTTAATGTATAAATGTGTATCTATTTTGGTACCTCTCCCCACTGATTACCCTACATGTATAGTGGGTGATCACTGAGTTAGTGTTTACTAAGTAAATCAATTAATTAATTTCCTTCTTAATCTGGTTATTTGAATAAGTTATCTATTTTAACAAGTAACAACTCTAGAATGGAGCATGGGAGTGAGTTTAAAATAGTAAATATTCCCCTGGGTAGTATTTCTCAAAAGATCCCTCTATGAACATGGAAACGTCCTCTACTAATCAAGAAAACTAGCAACTTAAAGCATTGCCGAAGGTCAAGTGCAGGTTACAAAGGTGTTCTATAGGGTAACCCATGACTTCCTTTTCTTTTTAGTACAATGAAAGTATTGTAGCTAAATGACTCTTTCATCTTCCATTATGCATGAATCATTTCCTTTTTATAACAGACATATCAGTATACATTTCTCATCTGCGAGAAAACATATCCTACTTCTAAATATTGTTTTCCACCATTATTGAGATTATGAATGATACGTATGTGCTCTTTGCGTTTCGTTTAAAAAAACATATAATCTGAAACCTGGTCCCCTGTGCTATTTGACCTGAGAAAAAAAATTCACCTCCCTGATAGACTAATATCTAAGTGAGCTTTTTTGAAAAAGTGCATACAGAAGAAGAAATGATAATTGCCTACTGCCAATTCAGAATTAATTTTGGAAAATTTGACATTCGTCCTTGATAAAATTATGTTCTTAATAAATTGTAAGAAGTACAACATGTGTAGAGAATAACCCCAGAGAGAAGACTGTTAGGCTTAAGTATGATTTAGGAGCTCACTACAGGGTGGAAAAAATGGCCCCTTCTTTCTTTTTCACCATGTGCAATGCTTTACATTCTCATTTGCGTATAATACTGGTCGGGAAAAAGAGAGCTGTCCCACCATATGTGTGTGTATGTATGCTTAGTTAGCACTTACTATAGGTCTTTCATTCATAATCCCACTTAGTTGATCCTATGAAGTAAGTGTCATTATCTCCATTTTACAAATGATGCAACTAAGATTCAAAGAAGTTAAGAGACTTTCCTAAGGTCATATAGGGAGATTCACTCCCAGGACAACCCATCTTCCTTTCCCCGGTCAAAAATCATCCTGAAAAATCCACATCATTAAGAGACCAAGAGGGGAGGATCGTTTGAGGTCAGGACAAGATCAGCCTGAACAACAGCAAGACCCCAATCTATAAAAAACAGAAAAATTAGCTGGGCCTGCAGTGGGTGCCTGTAGTTCCAGCTACTCAGGAGGCAGAGGCAGGAGGATCACTTTGAGCCCAGGAGTGGGGGTTGCCATGAACTGTGATGATGCCACTGCTGGGGCATCATCAGCTTGCTGGGGCAAGCTGTCTCAAAAAAAAAAATAAATAAATAACAATGTTAACGACAATGAAAAAACAGGGGCGGGGGAACACTGTGCCCTTAGTTAAGTCATGTAACATTTCCAATATTCAGTTTACTCATCTGAAAGTAGAAATGATCATAAAACTCCATTTCTTGTGTAATTTTTGTGAGAATTAAATGAGATCATATTTGAGGCACTTGGCTCTATGCCAGATACAACATTCTTGCTCAGTAAATTATAGCTCTTACAGTTCTGTGCCCTTTTGGGGAGAAAAGTTTTAGAAAAAGAATTTCACTTCTCACCTTGTTATCTTTCATGACCTATTTAGATTTCTTTTAGAACTCACCTTCCTGACTCTTTCCCTGCATTAGTGATATGCAAGTTGCCTATGGAAGTTTGGTAGGGCCACCACAACAAAATGCCCAGCTAAATGTCTTAAACAACAAAAATTTATATTCTCACATGTCTAGAGGCCAGAAGTTCAAGATCAAGGTGTCAGCAGGTTACAGCTTTCTTCGAAGTCCTCTTTCCCTGACTTGCCTTACTGTGTTCCCACGTGGGCATTTCTCTGTGTGCATGTGCTCCCTTCACATCTCCTGGTGTAAGAGATGTGGCCTCTTGTGCCATTGGAGGAGAGCCCACCCTAATGGCCTTATTTTAACGTAATCACCTCTTTAAAGGTCCTATCTCCAAATACAGTGGAACACCTGTAGTTGACCATGTACCTACATTAACCACCTCCTTAAATTGACCTAATTTTCATAGACCGAACATGTACCACATTTACATATCAGTACAGTAGGCCTAGTTCCTTATGTTGACCACTCATATATGTTAACCAGTTTGTTATAGTCCCTTAGGTGGTCAACTTACAGAGGTTCCACTGTACAGTCATATTCTGAGATACTGGGGATTTGGCTTCAACATAATGAATTTGGGGGAGGAGGAACACAATTCAGCCCATCACACTGCCATAAGTAAATTCTTTTCCACTGTATTTGGAAATAATTATTTTCAGGAATAGTAACGTGATTAGAAGGTATTGTTGAGGAATACTAAGATATAACCACTGAAATCCTATGACTATAGGATTCTCCATATCTGACCTATATAATGAGTTCATTTTTTGTGCATAGAAAACATTTAAAAGGTAACGTTTGGGCTGGGCACAGGGGTTCATGGCTGTAATCCCAGCACTTGGGAGACCAAGGTGAGTGGATTGCCTGAGGTCACAGGTTCGAGAACAACCTGAGCCTGAGAGAGACCTCGTCTCTAAAAATAGCCAGTGTTGTGGTGGGCACCTATCGCCCCAGCTCCTTGGGAGGCTGAAGCAAGAGAATCACTTAAGCCCATGAGTTTGAGATTGCTGTGAGCTATGACACCACAGCACTCTATCAAGGGTGACAAAGTAAGACTCTGTCTCAAAAGAAAAAAAGTCAGGTTTAAGGCTTTATAAATTGATATGTAATAAGAAATATGTTCCCTGATAATAGGCTATGATTTTTAAAAGTATTTTAGTATTGATAAATGCTTTGTGTGGAAACTTGGAAAACATAGTGTTAAAAAATGCCTGTTTGGGGAAGCACCTGTGGCTCAAGGAGTAGGGCACCAGCCCCATATACTGGAGGTGGCGGGTTCAAACCCGGCCCAAGCCAAGAACTGCAAGAAAAAAAAATAAAATAAAATAAAATAAAAATGCCTGTTTGTGGCTCGGCACCTGTAGCTCAAGCAGCTAGGGTGCCAGCCACATACACCAGAGCTGGCAGGTTCGAATTCAGCCCAGGGCCTGCCAAACAACAATGACAACTACAAGCAAAAAGTAGCCAGATATTGTGGCGAGTACCTGTAGTCCCAGCTATTTGGGAGGCTGAGGCAAGAGAATCGCTTAAGCCCAGGAGTTGGAGGTTGCTGTGAGCTGTGATGCTACAGCACTCTACCCAAGGCAACAGCTTGAGGCTCTGTCTCAAAAACAAACCAAAATAATGCCTGTTTATAGCATTCATTGGGCAAGGAGTTAGGACACGTTTACATATGTACTATAGCCATATATAAAATCAAATAAACATATTTAATAACTATGCATCCATTATGGCAAAACACTAGGACAAGGATTATTGGGAAACCTAGGTGGTCCTGTCCCTCAGGGGGCTAGTTGGGAAAATACCAGAAATGTCACAGGTGAGTGAGCCTATTGAATTGCCCATTACATTGCTCGGTGTAGATAAGGAGGGTTGTGTGTTCAGGAGAGGACACAATTGCCGCTGAAGCCCAGAGTTAAGATTTAGAACTTATAATGGTTAGTTTCTATAATGTTGAGGGGAAAAAAGTAGTATAATCAGAAAAATAGGCTCCGAGTTGGCTCACTGCAGCATTCAGGATGAAGGAACGAGGCCCATGAGGAAATACTCTGACAGCATAGTAGTATAGAAAGGTGCTTGCTCTGAGAAGGATCGCACCAAGAACGGTTTTAAAGAATCCCACCTATCCGTGGTTTGAGCCTAGGACAACCACGTATTTGACCCTACCAGGAAATTAAGTAGAACTTTGAAACTTGGACCTGTATGTGATGGTATCACTGTTGTTACAATGACTTAAAATAGGCTACTCAAGATTGCAAGACATGGGAGTCAGGTGCCATAAGTGAAATGCAAGGAAAACTTGACTAAAAAAAGATACCTCAATTCTTTACTTCTTCCCCTCCCATAAAGAATACCGTGCTTCCTGGTAAGTGATGATAATGACAAATACGATTGAATGTAACCTGAGAAAATGCCTTATATAAAATGTATCTTTATTCTTTTAGGCCTCTTTTTCGTGGAAGTTCAGATGTTGATCAACTAGGAAAAATCTTGGAGTAAGTAATAACTATAATTTTACATCAGCATCCACAGCAGTAAAACATTGACAGCGGCTTTCCTCTGACATTCGTGTAATATGTTTATCTCTTGTCTTTCTTACCCCAAGCTGCTGCTGCAGACAGTGTTACTGTATGTGTGGTGAGTGGGGACACGGTGGAAATGCTGTTCACGCCGAGCCCATCAAGACGGGGGCCTGACTGCTTTGCTCTAGAAGCCTGTGTGTTGCTTGTATAGATCTTTTTGCTGCTCCTCTTTTTTTCTTGGCTGAGCTGAAGTTCTTTAATTCAGATACATCCTCCGCTTGTGGCCATTTCAAATGCACCCATGACTAGAGAGGGACATTTGATGGCCTCGTAACCCATCCTTGTCCAGTGAGTTTCCTGTCCCCGTTGAGTCTCCTTGGTCCAGGTCGAGTCTGCATTGTTGTGTTTTGTTTTCCTGGGCCAAGAATGGTATGCGACACATCCCATTTTTCTTTGGAGCACCAGAAGAGAAAAATGAGAATCCTAGGTCCTTAGCCTAAGTCTGTGGCTACATAACTACGCAAGCTTGAGAAAAGTATTTTAAAATGCACTGTGAAAGGCTGTGCCTAGCAGATAATAAGTGCTTTTTTTAAAGTTAGCTGTTATTATTGCAATTCGTCATTAATTATATAACCTTTTTTTTCCTTAACCTCTCCATCTGAGAAATGAAACATGAAACTCTGACTTAAATTCTTCCTAAGATCCTTTCTTGTGCTCAGATTGTTTGGTGCCAGTCTGTTCCATAACTCCTCGGCGATCTGCATTGTTTCATCCGCGTGTACATGTTTGCGCATGTGAGGGTGTGTGTGCTTTCATGTTCTAGAACGAAGCTGGGGCATTTCTTCTCCCAAAGCATGCAGTACGGCGTCCTTTTTTGGGTTTTTGTGTCCGCCAAGCCTGTCAGACTTGGGGCGGAGTAGGAAGAAAACGGGAGTTCTAGACCAAAAATAGCCCTGATCGCTGGTCTGTGACATTTTATAGGAATCTCAGTGATTTTTATGAGATTTGCAGTCTGTAAGATTGCAAAAAAAGCATCCCTAAAGAACAGAATTATATATTCTGCTTAAAACAGTTAATAAAACTGAACCCTGACTTTGTTCTTCTGGTGAGTGGAATCAGCTCCAGTAGACCTCTGCTAGTGCCAGTGTGACTGCTGAGTCAGACCCAGTGGCTTCAAGGTCTGAAGAAAATTTACTGGGTGGTTTTGTTTTTTGTTTTTTGGTTTTTTTTTTTTTTTTTTTGTGGTCTGGGAATACCAGGTCCAGGCAGCTGATGCTACTGCTGCTACTGCTGACCACCCTGTGCAATGAATAAATTCAACACAAAGCCTTCATGGCACCCCTGCTTCTACGTGGCAGGTTCTTTGATCATTCACTGGTGAACTTTCATCTGTTTTCCCCCACGACCATTGAACATATATGTGCATGTGGTCTTTAAAGAGGGAACTGGGAAGTCAGACATCCTGGTGACATTGAAGGCCATCGCCTTCATTTCCTGACTGCACCACCCGGGAGTTGTGTCCGCCTCCAGCGGGGATGTCTGCAATTTTGTTATCATTGTTAGCACCCTTCTTACTACGTGAAGCCAGTGAAATGGCCCACAAGGAACATTTGACCAGCATGTTTGACTTGCTTCCAATTAAGTTAAGGAAAAGCCAGTTCCACTTTTGGAAAAAGCCTGACAATCCTAAATTGCCCACAGAAAAGAAGCTATAAAGTTCTATGCTTTGGGCCTTTAGATTTTACTTTATGGTTTCTGGCATTGTTTCATTGAAATTAAGAAGTTCACTCTCTTCTGAATGCATTACCGTGTAGAGAAAAGGGACAATGCTGCACCCTAGTGTCACTGCTAAAGTACTTGAAAAATAATTCCACTCCACCATCGCTGCCATTTATAGATTTTGTGCCCTGTCAGTCTTTCCAGTATAAATGTCAACTTTTAAGGCTTATATTCAGCTGTCCAAATAATGGAATTTGATGCAAGCACTTTTTAATGGACCTATCAGAATTTCACAGCACTCATATATGGGCCATAAAAATTCATACTGGACATGAAACTTTTTTTTTTTTTTTTAAGAAAAGCCAAATTCACATACTCATAAAGAGAACGTTTCTATGTTTAGAAAGATAGAAACCTTCAAATAACAGCAAGTCACTTTGAAAGTGAAACAATGTCTTTAGCCCATGACCTTTTAAAGCATTTATAAGAGCACTATCCTAGTTAAATGGAATAAACTATTGGACTCTGAAATAGGGAGAAATGGACTCACTCTGAGCTCTGTGACTGAACTCTTTATGAGTGAATTCAGCAGTTCATTTCATTCCTCATTCTGTTTCCCCATCTTATAAAATGGAAATAATACAGCTGACCTGCATGTTTTAGGAGGTCTTTACGGGAATCACAGGTGATAGATTTAAAGTTATATATAGATATAAACAGTCATGTGCATATTTATACACAGACAAACTTCTATGTGTATTTGCAAAATTTCACTCAATATAGTTATATTGAAAGCTATAAATAAAAAGATTTTAGGCAGTGCCCATAGCTCAGTGCATAGGATGCCAGCCACATACACCAAGGCTGGTGGGTTCAAACCCAGCCTGGGCCAGCTAACATAACAATGACAACCTCAACAACCAAAAAAATAGTGAGGCACCTGTAATCCCAACTACTTGGGAGGCTGAGGCAAGAAAATCACTTAAGCCCAAGAGTTTGAGGTTGCTGTGAGCTGTGATGCCACAGTACTCCACCCACGGCAACAGCTTGAGACTCTATCTCAAAAAAAAAAAAAAAAGATTTTATATTATTTCTAAGAATTGTTATAATCAATTTCTAGGTGACTGGCGATGATATGCAAAACTATTTATATAAAAAGAGCTAGTCTTGGAACAGTGACTCATGTCTGTATTCCTACCACTTTAGGAGGCCAAGACAGGAGGAGGAGGATCACTTGAGATCAGGAGTTCAAAACCAACCTGGGCAATATAGTGAGACCCTGTCACTACAGAAAGTAAAAAGTTTAACAAGCATGGTAGCACACACGTGCAGTACCAGCTACTGGAGAGGCTGAGGCAGGAGGATCATTTGAGCCCAGGAGTTCAAACTTTTAGTGAGCTAGGATTGCACCCCTGCATTGTATCCTGGGCAACAGAGTAAGACCCTGTCTCGGGAAAAATTAATTAATTAATTAATTAATTTTAAAGGGCTAAAAGCTAAAAAGGAATAAAAGAAAATGTTTGTCATTGTTGCTTAGCAGGCCCGGGCCAGGTTCGAACCCACCACCCTAGGTGTATGTGGCCCGCGCTCCCTCTGCCAGCTGAGCTACAGGCACTGCGAAAGAAAATGTTTGAAACTCTTTAATAAACATTCTTCTTTTCTTCCTATCTTCTGTCCCATTCTGTCCAAACACAACCATGGGCATTTCCTTTTGTAATTAAAGTGTTATCTTTGTTTTCTTATTTTTAATCCAGTTGCAGACTTTGCTGTTAAGCTAATTTGCATAGTGCTCAAGTTATGGTTTCTCTTCATTGGTTCCAAAAAATATGTCTGTGGGTCTGTCTTGGTCTGCATCATGGAATAACCTGGCTCTCTCAGGATACCTGACAGAGGCAGCATGTGGTGTCTGGGCCCTCCACACTCCCAGGTATAGGTGCCACCATGATGACAGGAGTGTCTGCTCTTCCTAAGTGAGCTCTGAGGCCTGGGCTGTGTAGTTTAGGTGAGGGAGAAGGGATCCTGGGGCATTTACTGACACGTGTTTGTGGAACCTAGAAATACATTCACAAGAATACCCCTTCCTGGGCCTAGTGTCTCTTCTTGGCCAGGAAGAGCCTACTTCAGGCCAGCACCATTTCTAACTCTCATTAAAATAGTTTGGTCAAACCTTCAGGGGGCAGGACACAATTATAAGAGGGTCCTTATCTAACAAAAGCAATCAGTGTAACCTGGTGCTGTGTACCCTCAATGAATCCCCAACAATTAAAAAAAAAAAAATAGTTTGGTCGAGTACTTGAATAGCTATATATCCTGTCTACTCAATAAATGATGATTTTTTTTTAGTTCAGTGTTATCCAGAGTCTATACGAAAAATAAGTTCTTGCATCCTCTGATTTCCCTTATTCAAATCTACTTACCACTTACACATAAACTATAAAAATCTATATAATGTATAAATTATATAAGAACATTGACCTGTTAATTTTTTTTGAGACAGAGTCTCAAGTGTTGCCCCTGGCTAGAGTTAGCTCACAGCAAGCTCCAACTCTTGGACTTAAGCGATCATCTTGCCTCAGTTTTCTCTAATTTAGTAGAGACGGAGTCTCACTTTTCCTGGTGTTGATCTCAAACTCAAGAGCTCAAGCTGTCCACCCACCTCGGCCTCCTTGAGTGCTAGGATTACAGGCATGAGCCACTGCACCTGGCCGATTGTTAATATTTTTGAAGAACCTTAAGTGACACATAAATAGGACTCAAGCAATTCATATTTTTAATGTGGTAGTGATATATTCCCTATGCATCTTGGATTAATAACATTTTCTAATTATGATAATGAATAATGTATTGATATTGACTGTGTAGTATATGTGGTGTGTCAGGCACTGTGCTATGTATTTTGCATAAATTATGACTATATATGAGACTATATATAAATTTATGTAAATAATAACTGGTCCTCATTATGACTATAAATTATCTGTATAAATTGCTGTATACATAAAGACAGTGATAGTCATCAGTGTTAAGTAATTTGTCCTTACCTGCAGGTTCAGAATTTGAACCCAAGTCTGCCTATTTCCAAAGCCTGTGCACTTTTTACTATTTCCTGTTCTTTTCACATTTCTGATCCCAGAATGGTTTTCAGAGGAGATATAAATGGTATTCATTTAATTTATTGTTTGCTCACTTTGAAATACCATAGACTTTCTTTATAAAATAGTGTTTTCATAAAACAGAACTTACATACCTTTTGGCTTCATTTTTCTGTCTGATTCTAACCTGTGTAATTACTGTTCAAGGAGCAACTTTTTAACCAAAAATGCAACCAAATTGATATGTTAATAAGCTACATTGAGGGAGGCGCCTGTGGCTCAAAGGAGTAGGATGCCCACCCAATATGCCAAAGATGGCGGGTTCAAACCCAGCCCCGGCAAAAAACTGCCAAAAAAAAAAAGCTACATTGAATAAGCATCATAAAAGCATGTGAATATAGGAGTGTTGGATCAGAACAGAGAAGGCACTCATGCATAAAGGAGGGTATACCAGTGTGGGTCTCCTTGGAATACAATAAGCCCTGCCTTGTCAATGAATCAGAGATTACCACCTGGCAATATATTTTCCATTTCTATATCTTCTCTTACATTTAGTATCTGCTGCTGGAGCAAACTCTTCTCTGCACAGAATTTTATAATTCTCCTGTAAGATTACTCTATACCCTGTGACCACCATACTGAACAAGACAGAGATCAGTGAGAGATCTTGCCAGGGATAAAGCGGAGGTCTTCTGGGACTCACTACCCACTGCCCCAAATCTAAGATGCCTGCCTCTTAGATTTTGCGTTTCTCTAGAAATTGGTGAGAAAACAGCTTCTACATAGCAGCTAGTGCTCATGTCCCCATTTGGTTCTTTTGTAGTGTAATTGGACTCCCGGGAGAAGAGGACTGGCCTAGAGATGTTGCCCTTCCCAGGCAAGCTTTTCATTCAAAATCTGCCCAACCAATTGAGAAGTTTGTAACGGATATTGATGAGCTAGGCAAAGACCTACTTCTGGTAAGTTCATGTGCTGTTGAGCTGGTCTGCACTGTGCAATGAGAGGTGTGCCCTGTCCAGACTACATAATAGCAATTCAGCAACTGCTGCTGGCATCGCGGGCCACAGTCAGACCGGGCAGGGGGCTCCAGTCTCTCCACGGGTTTTGTACACTCGTAGCAGCTAGTAGCTTTTGATTGCAGAATGTCTTCCTAATCTCTTTAAATCCACCATCGTTGAATGTTTATTTCAGTGCAGCTTTAGAAGCCTCTTGAGTCACTTGGATATGTGTCATTAGACATAAATACAGTAAAATCTCCATAGTTGACCATCTCCCTACATTGACTACCTCCTTAAATTGGCCTCATTGTCACAAGTCAGACATGTACGTTATGTATGTGTCAGTGCAACAGGCCTAGTTCCTTATGTTGACCACTTCTGTATATTGACCAGTTTGTTACAGTCCCTTGGGTGGTCAGCTTGCTGAGGTGTTGATGTATTATGTTTCCTTATTAGCAGTTTCATGCTACTTTAAGCAACTTGCCATTTTCATGTGCCATTTCTTAAATAGTCACAACTTAGGCAAGATTTTTTCCAAAGAAACTATATCACAATGCTACTAGTACAAAATGTGCCTTACACATATAAAGTACCTCACTAAAAATAAGACTGTTCTGTTTGAGACTCAGACTCGTAATACTTGACCTTGTACATAATTTCCTATAGTTTGGAGGCCAGAACAACAGCTAATGGGCTGTTCTTGGTGTCTGGAACCCAACAAGTAATGAGTGTATTGTTTACCTGCTGACTGTACAGTCTCTGCTGTCTGCTTCATCCTGTGGGTCAAGTACAGTTCTTCCCCATGTTTTTCATTCAGAATCCACACCAGAGGGGCAGCTAGCTCCCTAGAGTGTGTTTTTCTCATGATGGAGGGTGGATGCTCCCAGGAGGGCAAGCAGAAACATACAGTGCCCATGAATCCCTGGGCTTGGTAGAAGCATGTGGCCACTTCTGCAGCATTCCACTAGTCAGTGCAAGTTCCATGGCCTATATATATATATATATACTTAGAGACAGAGTTTTACTTTGTCACCCTCGGTAGAGTACTGTAGCATCACGACTCACAGCAACCTCCAGCTCTTTGGCTTAGGCAAGTCTCTTGCCTCAGCCTCCCAAGTAGCTGGGACTACAGGCGCCTGCCACAATGCCCAGCTTTTTTTTTTTTTTTTTTTTTGCAGTTTGGCTAGGGCCAGGTTTGAACCCACCACCCTCAGTGTATAGGGCCGGTGCCCTACTCACTGAGCCACAGGTGCTGCCCACCAAGACCAATTTTAATGGAAGAAAGAATTCTCCTTTCATGGAAGGAGAGGAGATAAGAATTTACACTAAAAATTATTCAGTCTACCATAATATTCAACTCTAAACTGTGATTCCAAAGCCCATTTTATAAGTCAATTATTTGGCATTTAAATTCCATTTTCTTGCAGAAACAATATGATTACACAAGGCTTTTGAATTAATTCTCAAGCCAGCTACCGTGTTCCTAAAGTAGAACAATAACAGAACTCACCCACATTTTCTAACAATATTTCTATAGGACAAGATGTATAAGACTTCCAGCTTGGGATTCTCACACATGCCCACATTTAGCTAAGTTCTCTTTCTTGCCACCCTCTTCCCAGCTTTAAGCCACCAGTACAGCTGTGAGGAAGAGGGCTTCCTCCCACATAATCCTCTAGGGATATGTCTATATCGTGAACATATTCCCACAACTCGTTACTTTCTCCTGGGGATTAAAGTAACTTCTACAATTTCTAATGCTAATTTTCTCTGTCTTGGACTCTGGGAAGAGAGAGCTCAGGCTCAAGAATTTTGTCCCTGATTGCTGTCCTTTGGGATCAGTTCTCGCAAAGCTTTTCTAAAGATGTTTTATTGCTATTAGCGACAGTGGAACCATTCTACAGACAAGTTCCTTCCTCTGCTTGCCCTTCAGCATTTTGATTTTCAGAAGACCCTGTAGGGAGGCTGGCATGCATGGCCTTGTAGGGAGAGGGAGCTCAGGATAAATAAGACTTCAGGGGACCCAAGGATCACCTGAAATTAAATGTAGACAACTATGTTTCTACTTGTTTTTCTCAGTTAGTAGCTTTCAACAGAGTATTTAGAGGGGCCCCTAATCCAGTCAGAACCCGATTAGGACTGAGAGGAGGAGCCTAGATCCAGCAGAAGAGGTCTGCATAAATCATGATAATGCCAAGTCTTTAGACTGCACTGAGGACTGAAATTCAGAGACGTTTCCTTCACCCAACCCACTTAGTGGACACTGCATCACGAGGATGGAAGAGCTCCGAGGGCTTGAAGAAAAATCCTGGGTAGACAAAAGGTATTGCTTTATCACGTGAGGCAATTTATACATTAAGGACATATACATGCATACATATGTAAGTTGAGTACTGTCTATATATTATTTAGTGGACTTTGAAATACTCATTCTCATCGTGATACACTGACAGTAAATAGATAACTTTATAAGCACATTATTTTACATCGATGTGTTTTCTGTTAGTCAATTATTTTTTCTTTATTACAGAAATGTTTGACATTTAATCCAGCCAAAAGAATATCCGCCTACAGTGCCCTGTCTCACCCATACTTCCAGGACCTGGAGAGGCGTAAGGAGAACCTGGATTCCCACCTGCCACCCAGCCAGAACACCTCAGAGCTGAACACAGCTTGAGGTCCAGCAGCTGGCTTGAGCTGATCTTCCGCAGAACACCCTTGGCGGCTCATTTCCCCTGAGCTAGCCCTGCAGAGCTGTTGAGGGTCACTGTCTGGAGGCCTTCCAGCTGCTGTCTTCTGGATGGGCTCTGCCTCTCCAAGGAAACCGCCTAGTTTACTATTCTAAATCAATGCAAGAGTGATTGCAGCTTTGTGTTCATTTGTTTGTTTGTTTGTCTGTTTGTTTCAAGAACCTGGAAATATTCCAGAAGAAGAGAAGCTGCTGACCAATTGTGCTGCCATTTCACTTTTCTAACCTTGAATGCTGCCAGTGTGAAGTGGTAAACCGGGCACAGCTGAGTTATGATGTAATCTCCCTGCAGCTGCCGGTCCTGATTTGGTACTTTTGAGTATGTATGTGTGTGTGAGAGAGAGAGAGATTCTGCGATCTTTTAAGTGTTACTTTTTGTAAGCAATAAGAATAATTGCATTTGAAAGACTCGAGGTGAATGGTAAAATAACGCATTTGTTCACTGAAGGTGATTCACCAGAATGGTCTTCTCAAATTAGAAAGTTGAACCTATGTCCCCAGCATTTCTTTTCTGGCCAAGAAAGTTTTATACATGCAACAAAAGGAAAAAGAATTCTAATCTCTTTTAAGAGACCTGTTTTGTTTTTTCGTTTAAGCATGCATTCTGTTCGCTCTTCAAACAGCTGAATTTACTTGTCTTTTTTAACCTTCTGTACAATATCATCTTTATTGTTTCCTTTGGGAAATACCCTATAGGCTTTTATTACTTGCTATAGATTTAGGGAATGTACCTCAAATAGATAAAAAAAAAAAAAAAGAAAATAGAGAAAGCCTTTTATTTTCTAGTTTGAGATTCCTTTTATCCTTTCCAGTTTTTTTTTTTTTTTTGAGTTGTTGTTTGTTTTTAGGAATTTGTCAGAAACTGTTTCCTCTTGTGGTTTGCAGAGTAGTCTGACTGGAAACAGAAATGCCATTTAAATTTTCTTCACCTATTACACTGTGCCTTCTACCACGCACTGCGTTGTTGGCAAAAGCATCCATCTTCGCTATCTCCCAGCCACCTCTGATACACGCTGCAACCAGACTCCTGTCAGGTACCACCTGCTTGCTCATTTTCAGTGACCCTTTCATAAATTGGCGGTTTCAGTTCAGCCATCCCCGTAGCACCCCATATGTCCTCCCTAATGTAGTCTTCCTGCCTGGCATCCGCTGTAGTTACCTGAGCAATGAGAAGGACACTCGTTGTGCTTTATCACCAACAGGTAGATTGCTATTAACTGTTACTTTTGTGTTTTACATTTTTATAGGTGTAGTATCTGAGGGAATGCCTTTTAACTATGTCTTAGCGACTACATTTACTTTATAAAATGATCTTTCCACCATCCCGCAGGCTGTGCCTGTTTCTGGTACCTTGTTAGAAGCAGCCTGACCTGGGCATTGTAAACAGCTTTACTTTTTCTCTTCCCCTTTTCTCTAGTCCTTTGTATTTCATTCCGTACCTGCCTTCTGTGTGACTTAGCGCTTACTTGGCTCCAGTAACCAGAAGACACAGAAATCATCTTTCAGGAAGGTCACCTGCCTTTACTTTCTGTTATTGAGTGTATGCAACAGGTTAGATCATGACTAGAGTTAGGATTTTCAAAGAATAGACATTGCTTCACTCAGCAGAAAATACTTCAGATGATGTTTAAGCACTATCAAGTTTTACTGAATTCTTCACAGCTTAATATTGTATATGACTATCTTGAACAAGAGAAAAAATTAGATATTTTTCTTCTTGAGAACTTTGGGGGTTGGGAACTATTCTTTCCTTAATACATACATTGTTAACATTGTTTTGATTCAGTAGCTCGAGGAACAGGAAATTTTTTCTAAAGCAAGATAACACAGAAGATGGGCCATAAGAAGGTTCTATAATTTCACTGTGACAACACTGATTATGTGTTGTCGGAACTGTAAATGCTTGAGATATAATGAATGCAGAGCATTCAGGGCAAGGTATACTCCAAGTCTCACCTGGAAAAATGAGTTCCACCTTTCCTTTCATAGAGGGTCAAAACACAAAGATATTCTTGCTGGCGCCTAAAAATTGAATTTAAAACCTCACTGCACTGATTCATCACGAGCTTTTTTGTTCGTATTCATGGCAAGGCTACATGTAATAAGTTTTCACTTTCACAAACGTTTTTTCATAAGTTCACTCCAGACAAATGCAGCTGTTCTGAACTGGAATTTTTCGGCATTCTTTGGAATTTTGAAGAGGTTGAGAGCTCAACTTTTATTTCTAGTATCTGCTTTTGCCTCATTTCTAAATAGTGCTTGTAAAGGAAAATTAAAGCACCAACATTTTGCCCTTAGATAACCGGGCCAGTTATTCTCTGACAACACAGAACAATAGGGCATCTCCACCTCTCTGAACTTTTTTTACTAGTCTGTCCCCAGCTCTTCCATTAATGTGGTTATTACACTGGAGTGAATATTCTCTCAATTTATGGGTTTTACATCCAGCCTCACTACTTCTGAAATTCAGATCCCAAACAAGCAGTTGTGCCATTAGGTCACTCAGAAGCATGTAATAGAATAAGAACTTTCTGAATATACCTTACCCTTCCGTGACATATGGTTTCCAGCATCTTTGCGAAAAGGTCATACTGCCACAGGGTTGTACTAAAGCAGCTTTATAGCAAGTAAAAATATCACATGACAGATTTGAAGTCACATTTGACTTTCATACTAGGTCTAGTGTGCAAGAAATGTGCCTGATTGTTTGATGTTTGGTTCAGGTGTTTTAGGAACTGTTATGCAGGGTGGAGTTGAAACAACCTACATACAAAAAAAGAAACCTGTTCATTTAGGTATGGTAGGCAATCACATGGCAAAGTGTCCTTAAAAACACAAACCCAGTGGTTTGTCCCTCCTTTAAAGTGTATAGGAACTCAAGGTGCAAAGAACCTCTTGGAAGAAAGTTCCATACCATTTCAACTCCTTGTGTGATCAGGACTTTCTCTCAGGAAGCACATGCTGTGAATGGCAGGCTTTTTGTTTAGCCCCAGATGACTTACTAAAAATACTTCAGAATTATCCATCTAAGAATAGAACCTCAGCATTTTAATTTTAAGTAAAAATGAAAAGTTCAGAATGCATAGGATGTTGGTATCTCAACAAAAAGCATGTTTCTTTTAACAGAGAAACTTACAGTTTGACTTCAGAGTGTGGCACTACGCATCTTGATGAGAAGACACTTAAATAGTGCCAGTTTGAACTTTAAATGATGTACTTAAACTGAGTTTTTAAGTAACTTGTAGCTGCTTCTTTTAAAAGTGGTGCCTGTGAAATCCAGTAATGGCAATTCTTATTCCATTATGGAAAATTAAATCATATAAGCTTCCTAATATCATAAACATATTAAAATTCTTCTGTCCAAAGGATTGCTTTTAAGTGACGACTGTTTTTAGATAAGCACACAAGAGATCTCACATTTTCCAAAAGCCAGTTTTTGTTGCATAGTGGGTCTAAGAAAGAATAATGTTTAAAGTGCCGCCATAATTACTTGTGTTAGCACAGAAACTACAGAGTCTTTCCCTTGGAAAGAAAGTATTGAAATATTATAAATTCTCAGATATTGGTGGAATTCAAAGGGGGATGCATGTTTTACATTGTGTCATAAAAATAATGATGTTGTATGGTTCCTAAATCTTTAAAAGTTCATAAAACTGTGCAATGGACAGAAAATTCTAGAGAAAATGAAGATATTCAAAGAGTATTGTCAAAGCCATATTTTTTTGAAGAATATATTTTTGTTAACAAATACATTATAAGAATTTATATTAAAGTCCCCTAGCAACTATGGGCTCGATATGTTGAAAAACAAATTTTATGGAGAAACTGTTCCAAACAGTTACCATTTCAAAGGTTGAGCTAAACAAAGTAAATCATCCGCTCTTTCGTTTTTTTTTTTTTTTCTTTTCATTTCAAGGCAAGGAAGCAGTCGTGTGAATCTACACTTGTTATACATGCCTAAGCATGTTTACTATAAAAAGATTAAACAAATTTTTTTTTTTTTTTTTTTTTAGACAGAGCCTCAAGCTGTCCCCCTGGGCAGAGTGCCATGGCATTACAGCTCACAGCAACCTCCAACTCCTGGGCTCAAGCGAGTCTCCTGCCTCCGCCTCCCAAGTAGCTGGGACCACAGGCGCCCGCCACAACGCCCGGCTATTTTTTGGTTGCAGCCATCATTGTTGTTTGGCGGGTCCGGGCTGGGGATTCGAACCCGCCACCTTAGGTGTACGTGGCTGGCGCCTTAGCCGGTTGAGCTATAGGCGCTGAGCCAGATTAAACAAATTTTAAAAAGGCATATGTTCCCTGTGGCACCAGTACTTTTGAAAAATGGTGAACCTTACTGAAAAACAATTATGTGCATTAAATACATTCAAGTATGTAATTAGGAAGATACGTACATGTTCCTTCTCCACAATAGAAAAATGTCCTGAGGCTACCAAAATCTGCCAAGAAATATAACTTAGTTCTCAGAATAATTAGAATTAGTGTTTTCCTCAAAAGCATGATAAAATAGCATTTTTGTTTTTTATTGGATTCTTTGTTAATGCAGTTTTCAACTCAATTTTGATGTATACCTATATATCTCAAGCATTTCTAAGTGGTACTTTTTTAGAAAATAAACCAAAAATACTTTGGCCTTCTCTATCTTTGTAAATAACAAAAATATAAAAACAGAAAGTCCAATTTTTTAAATTTTTTCTCCTCTAGAGTTCCCTTCCACCCCCCACTTAATGAAGTACCAATCAGCTTTTCAGAATGTTTTCTATTTCTTAGCATTCCCAGGGAGTTAGTTTAGATAAATGAATGAAGTTTCATCAACATACTATGTTTCCTTGATACTGGTGCTCTGGCCTTAAGAAGAAAGCAAGAGCCATCTGAAAATAGGCAGGTGGTTTTTCTTGCAAAAGTCTCTTTTAAAGTCACGCTATCCTGACAAATGGGCTTTCTTGTTTTATTCCAGAATATTCCACAAGGTGGCACTTTTCAGAGAAGAACTAAATTTTGATCAAGGCTAAAGATTTTTCATTCTAACTTTTCTGCACATATAATATTTAACTCTTGCTTAGCACTTGTTTTCAAGATTATTGTTTATAATCACTTAGATACTTGATATCTAGGTTCTGAACAATTATGTGCAGATAAATTGTGCTTAAGGATTGATAATACATCCATTTTGATCATACAAGTGAGTGAAGAAAGCCTAGTTACTCACTTATTCAAGAAGCATTTGGGGGGTACCTAATAACCTCACTTTTCCAGGTTAGGACAGGTTACTATGAAAGCAACCCTCATCTGTGGACAGGATAGTTTTGTTAGAAGTGGAAATCTCTTCCAGTGGCCCCTGTTAAAGCACTCATACCCTGTTTGCCACGTTCACATTCCCTACCATGGTGCCTTTTAACAACTGCTTAAATTTTAAAATCCTAATTTTTCAAAAAATTCAGCTGAGCAAGCTAAGTAGCATATCAGTAATTCAGTAGGCAAAGCTTTTTTTAAGGAATTGCTGTATTGAAACAGCCCTAATAGACAGCATTTTTTTTAATTTCTATAATCACAAATGTAAATTCACAAATTCTAATTTCTTTTCTATGATTGTAAGTATATGAGCATAAGAATTTAGGGCCATACTACGTCTCTGCATAAGTCTTTTCTCCACTTTTGAAGTTTTCTGACAACTTATGTATTTTTTTTTAATTCACAGGTCTGCTCAGACTCTTTATCCCCCAAA